ACTAAAATACTCTTTCTCCACTCATCTGGCATGTTCCTAGTCAACAAAATTTTGCTAAACAACCTAGTCAACCAAGCAACCCCCTTTTTACCCAAACACTTCCAAGCTTTAATAGGGATATCATCTGGTCCTAAAGCCTTATTTGATTTCATCTTCTTAAGTGTAATCTCCACTTCAAAGTTGCTAATCCTGCGATAGAACCTATAGTCTTAGTTTATCGTATTACTGGCTATTTCTTCTCCTATTGCCATACCTCCATGTTCCTCATTTAATAGTTTCTCAAAATAGTTCTTCCATCTTTCCTTAATCTCTTCATCCCTCACCAATACCTTAGAATCCTCACTCTTGATGTACTTAACTTGATTAAAATCTCTTGTTTTCCTCTCCTGTATCTTAGCAAGTTTATATACCCTTTTCTCTCCCTCCTTACTATCTAGTCTAGTGTATAGGTCATCATAAGCTTTCAACTTAGCCTCTCTCACTACTTTCTTGACCTCTTTATTAACCAATCTATAGCTCTTAAGGTTTTTCTCAGTTCTATCATTTTGCCATTTTTTAAAGCACTCTTTTTTTGCCTTAACTACCGCTTTGAACCTCTTCCCTCCACCACCAAGTTTCCCTAGAGCTGGGACCCGTTCCTTTCGACTCTCCAAGCACTTCCGTTGAGATTCTCCTCATGCAATTGGCCATCGAGTTCCACATAGTGTTAGTATCATCTTCCAAGTCCCAAGTACCTTCCTTATCCATTCTATTCTTAAATACTTCTAATTTATCCCCTTTTAGGTCCCACCACCTCATCCTACGACGCCCACCATCCTTCCTAGCTTGGTATTGCCCTCTAAAACATAAATCTAGTACCAAAATCCTATGTTGAGAGGTCAAGCTCTCTTTAGGAATCACCTTACAATCATTGCATTTTAGGCAGTCCACTTTTCTCACTAAGAAGTGATCTATTTGGCTCTTAACTGACCCACTCTTAAAGGTTATCAAATGCTCCTCCCTCTTCTTATATATAGTATTGGCCACCACCAGGTCAGAAGCCAATGCAAAATATAAGATACTCTCTCCAGTCTCATTTCTATCACCAAAATCGTATCCACCATGCACCATTTCATAGCCTAGTTTATCTATGCCTACATGGCCATAAAAATCTCCACCTATAGTCAGGTTCTCTCCTACGGGTATCTCCTGTAAGATCTCATCCATTTGCTCCCAGAAATCCCTTTTAGTCTGATCATCTAATCCTACTTGAGGGGCGTATGCACTAATAACGTTCACTATATTCCCTCCAATAACTAATTTAACTAACATAATCCTATCCTCTTTCCTAATGACCGGCACTACATTCTCCACAAGATCCTAATTAGAAAAAACATTGCTTGGGGTTCAAATGTCAATTCTATAATGGAAAATGCTAATCATATTCATTTATGAAACATCACAAGAATGATGTGACAATACTATTTTGATAAATAAATGCTATTTTTGCTAGTGTTTTGTTTTAAGGTAAATGGTTTACGTTGAGCCACATCATCAAAATTATGTATAGAAATTATCTATGAATTTTTTGTTTGTATATCATTACTCTTCTAGCATAATTGTTTTTAAAGATATGAAAGAGCGTCTATAAATTATATTATATTTGGTATTTTTGTAACTAGTAAAATAAACATGTTTATTTATATATGTTTTAATATTTTTTATTTTTACTTTTATGTATGTAGAAATTAATGATTTAGTGCATATTTTTTAAAAATAATAATAATTAGTATATACGTTCGCACCATCCTAAGTACTTTTCTCAAATATAAACTTCAGTAACTTGATAATATACAAAGACTAATTCCCAAGTTTACAAGCCAAAATTAGAAGTTGTTCAAATCCAACTCAACTTATGTTGAGAGTTGCCTAACTCCACTCAAACTTGATTGTTATTCGGACTCATTTGCTGAAGCCTAAACCCGACCCTACTTGTTTATATGATAATAAGAGTTTAGATTATTTTTACATCATTCAACGGTTAATAATTTATATGTATGTTTATATAGAAGCTTTAAGTCGCTCATGTTGCCTAGTGCCTCTAGGCAAGCTAGGGCTGAATTTTTACCTAAGTTCGTACTGAATTAAAAAAATAAAAATAAATAATAAATAAATTTGCTCGAACCATAAGGGGATTTTGGACTGTTGAGTCTGCCCAAATTACTCCTCTAGTCAGAGCCAGAATTCAAAAGTATTTTCATCACCTAATAAAGATAGGGGTGTCAACTTGAGCAACTTGAGTTTAACTATAAAAATTTGAGAGGTCCGGTAATGTAATTTTAATTTAGTCAAGAATTGGATTAAAATTTGTCAATTCCAAATTAATTGATCAAAACCTAGGTAGAGACTCTACAAACTCGATCAATCTAAATTCTATTTTTAAAATATATAATTACATATAATAAACATAAAAGATGCCCAAAAAATATTAATTTATTTGGAAAAATTACCAATAGGTCCTACTTTTGAAACTTATAACCCATTAAATCCTATTGATAAATTTATCAAGTGATAAATTTATCAGTCTATTTGTTTTTATAAATAAATTTATAGTGATAAATTTATCAGACTCTTGTTTTTATAGTGATAAATTTATTAGTTAGGACCAAGGCTTTGAAAAGCGGTTGCGGTCGCCGTAACAGTGGCAGTGGCGCGGTTGCGGTTGTAGGGTGTAAAGGCCATACCGTAACGGTTGCGGTAACCGGAACCGTGAATTTTTTTATTTTTCGCAAAATTTGAAAAAAACTTATCGATACGCATATTTTTTTTCCATGATCATATTTATTGGGTTTAAAATAAGTATTGATCAATTTTTATAAATTTTTAAGTATGATCCAATAGATTTCATATTTTTAAATCACTATAAATTGAGTTTTTTACATTTTATTTTAATAATTAATGACTTTATATTATACAAAAAATCAATCACTAACTATTATATATAAGATAAACAATGACAAAAGTAAGAGAATAAATAAGAAACTAAATATATATATACATATTTTTACCAAGCCAAATAAATAATGACCACACTTATTATTATTATTTTCAAACAATATATAGATAGACACACACAAACAAAATGGTTGAGTGATAGCAGCTGAATAGAATAGCATAGGTCTTACAGCTTCAACAAATCAATAACATGTTCTTCATCTTCCCTCTTCTCTCTCTCTATCTCTTGCTCCTCCATCTTCTCTCTTTATCTTCCTTCTTCTCTCTATCCCTCTTCCCCTATTGTCAGCTTTTTTTGTGTGTATTTTTTTGAAAGAAGCAGTTCGGAACCGTTACATAACGGTGCGTAATAGGCCGTTATGGTTGTTACGACACCGTTACAACCGCTACGGCAGCCGCTACGGCCGACACACCTATGAACCTCAATCACACTGCAAAAACGGGCGTCACGGGTGGCAGTAACCATAACAACCGTTACTTAATGGCGTTACGTAACGGTTGCGGCCGCTGTTTAAAACCTTGCCTAGAAGTAAGAGCGCACGACCAAGAGGGAACACAATTATAAGAACAAGTGTCCTTTTTTCTAGAGTGTGTGTGTGCAATGCAGAAGGAATTTTGCAAGGCTGCAAGCCGTGACATTTTGATATAGATCTTTGTTCCCTTGTAATGGTTCTATTAATGCATTCATGAAAGCGTTGCTCATGGGAATAGGACCATGCAACTCATTGTATGATATCAACATACGCCAAGCCACACATATCTTCAAAACTCTTTGGAATGAGACCAAAGAGTTTATTGAGGGAGAGGTTCAACTTCTTCAAGCTATGCAAATTTGTGATTTCCAATGGTATTTCCCCTATGAGAATGTTACTACTCAGATCTATCTCAGTCAGTTGAAATAACTTACTAATCTATAATGGAATTTCTGGTTGAACATGTTGCTCAAATTCAAGTAAAATAGATATCGATAGTTCTCCAAAATACCTAGTATTGGCCCACTAAATTTGTTTGTGGATAGATCAAGTTTCAACAACTTAGTTTAGTGATCTGAGTTCTTGAGGTATTCAACCTGAAAGCTGATTATTAGCCAAAATTAGCCACTCCAAAGAAGTCAACTTTCCAAATTCCTTTGGGATCTCCCCAACTAAACGATTTGAAGATAAATCTAGTCGTTCTAGTTGTGTTGACTTTCCAAACCCTGGTGGAATGCTATGAGTGATGTTATTTCTTGCTTAGTGTTCAATTTGGGAATATTCCCTAATTTTTTGAAAATTTTCCATAAAAATTATTGTTACTCAGATCTAGGTAGACTAAGTTTGGATTAGTGCCAAAATCTTCAAATATATTTCCAATGAGTTGGTTTCCCTCAAAGCGATCTGTGGCTAAGCTTGAGTAGTTTCTCAAACATTTAGGGATTGTACTTGTGAGCTGATTGTGGTGCATGTTTTTATTTAGTAATACTCTGAAGAATGAATTAATAAATTGTTTTCTTTAAGTAATGCGTGTTGATGATATGCATATAATGGGTTTATTTTGAGGGCGTTACACAATGAGTTGGTTTCCCTTAAAGCGATCTGTGGCTAAGCTTGAGTAGTTTCTCAAACATTTAGGGATTGTACTTGTGAGCTGATTATGGTGCACTGTGAAGTAATTAAGTTCACCACCTTGGCAAAGCTCTGAGAGATTGCCAGAAAATTGATTTTCATCCGGTACCAGCTCAACCAATTTTTTTAAATTGCCAAAGTCCTATGGAATGTGGCTGGATAGTCGGTTGGAGTGGAGGTTTAGAATTTCTAAATTGGTCAAATCACCTAAAGAAGCTGGAATGGGACCACTAAGTTGATTCGAACTCAATTCTAGATAAATGAGGACTTTAAAGTTCTCTAATTCTTTAGGAATTAGACTAGAGAGTTGATTATTCCAGAGGTATAGTGAGCTAGGGAGCTAAAATCACCTAAAGATGTTGGGATTGAGCCAGTAAGATTGTTGGTTTGAAAGGTTAGGCTCTATAGTGATTTCAATTGTCCTATCTCTTGGGGAATGGAACCGGATAGGGAATTGTTGAACAAGTGCAACACAGTTAGGTTATTCAAGTTTCCCAATGTGGAAGGAATAGAACCTGTGAGATTGTTGCCATCCACGTAGAGCTCAACAAGATTGACTAGGTTTCCCATTTCGGGAGGAATGGAACCAGAAAGATCATTTCCATAGAGATATAGACGAGTCAAGTTTCTCAAATTGGTTAAAGTAGGCATGGGACCATAAAGACTCTTGGTGTACAAAGAAAACTCAATTAGAGACTTTAACTGGCCTATCTTTTGAGGAATTGAGCCATTCAACTGATTGTCGAACAAGTGGAGAGTTTCAAGATTTGTTAGTAGGCCGATTTCTGGTGGGATGTTTCCTGAGAACTGGTTGGTGGACAAATCAAGATAGATGAGTTTGGAAAGGGAACCAATTAGAGGTGGGATGACACCAAAGAATTTATTGATGCTAAGCTCGATATATGCAAAATTGGGAAACAATGAAAATGAAAGTTGTCGAGCGTAGCATTTACACTTGAATTTGTGAGGTTCAATCTAATGACACTTCCATCAAGGTTGCAAGAAACTCCAAACCAATTGCAGGGACTGGCATTTGTTGAGCCACTATCATGGGGTGGAAGGATCCATGAAGTTAGCAGGGAATCATTTGCACTTTGCAGGTTGGCTTTGCATGTGAGGAGAGGATTGGCTTCTTCAGTAGAAGCAGAAGCAACATTAATGGTTGAAGAAAAGAGTGTAACAAATAGGACTAAGGAAAAAAGGTAGAGTAGTTTCTCTAAAGGTCCCATTGCCTTTCTTTTTTCCTTTTTTCCTTTGGTAGATGACTAACGGGTATTCAAGGATCTAATTTATGCACAATTTTTCTATTGGTTCCCATATCATTGATGCTATATAGACTTTGAACTTGGAAGTCTTCGTAATTAGGTTCCATATATGTAATTTTTTTTAAGGTAAAATGATGGTCAACTTGATTCCGTTCCATATGCTAAGGTTAAGATCTTTGTGTCTTAATTAGTGAAGAAAAACTAATCCCCTTATCTCCGATCTTTAGCTTTGGGCAAGTTTTTGGAAAGAACCTAGCTACATGAATGTTGAATAGACCTAATATTATACTGAAAAATAGAAGAAAACGAGCTTGTGTGGAAATCTAGAAATAACTACTTTAGACACTTTTTGTTTGGTTTCTTTTGCTGAAGTTTAAAAGAAATTTCATTTTGCCTCTCAAACTATATCACTTAATAATCAATTTAACTCATGTCCTTTTTAATTATATTAATTTTACACCTAAACTATTAAATTTTAGGTCAATTTGACCTCTGCCTTTAGCTTTTGTCTAAATTAGATAGAATTTGCTAACGTGGCATCGAAACTTTATCTAAAATTTTATTTTCCCTCCTAAACTATCTCTAAATATCAATTAGACCCTTGAATATATTAGAAAACTTAAATTTAAATATGTGATTAATAATTTGTTGTAAATAAATTTTAAATAGTAATTTTTACAAAAAAAAATATTAAAAAAATATAAAAATCCTTATTTAAAACTGTCTCTTTAAGCCTCCAATTACCTTGAGCCGGTTCCTAATTTATTCTATCTCTTTCATAGCATTTGTAGCTAATTTATTCCCTAGATAAATTTCAATAGGACTGATCGATTAGTAGTACGTTGAAAACTGAGTGGATAAAAATCTACACTACACAAATTGATCCAAAATTGAATAATTTAAATGTAAAAATTGATATAATTAAAAGGTTAGAGGTTGAATTAATTTTTGAGTGATAAGTTGGGGAACTAAAATTTCCTCTCAATTTTTTGTCGTTGTTGTGGTTGGGTTATTGGATAGAGAAGTTTGTGATCTTACACATTTTTTTATTGCTTTTGCAGATTTCTACTTAGTGCTGCAACTTGACCGAATTCAACTTGAAGTGTATAAGGATTTTCTTGAATTAACATAAAAATTTTAACTTGAGTTGAGCATTGAGTTGTCCTAAACCAATAAACTACACTTTCTATTAAAAAAAAAATTACAAGTAGGGAGCATCATATAAGAAAATTAATTTGAGTTATACACATCAAACATTAGAATTAATTTCCTTGCAATATGATTAAATCTAACTGTATAAAATAGGGGCACTTATTAATCAGTCCTATTAACTAGACTTGTTTACCTACAGTATGGTAGTAGTCCAACCACACACACATGATGTTGCTTCTCTCTTTATTGTATCTTATTCATTTTATTTTGCTTTGTTTTATTTTATTTTTCTTGAATATAAACCTTGTAGAACCAAAAATTGGTGGATTCTTATATATTGATTTGAAAAAGCAATGTTGCTGGGACGCTAATTTCCACAGAAATAAATTATGTATAAATTATCAAAATGGTTCAAATTTGATATTGGTGGTGGTGAGTTTGTGGCAGTGATTCTGGTTTTGATGGTGATTTGAGATTTGGTAAATAGGGAGGGAGGTGGTTGTTGGTGGGGAAAGAGGTAGTGGTTTATGAGGGAAGCTGTAAATGAGAGGGGAGAGGGAAAGAAATTAACATGCTACAAATAACATCATATATTTCATCTGATGACAAACTGCAAATTTGTTAAACTAGACACAAATCTAAATCTCTAGTACATGGTGTGGTTTATGGGTGATGTGGAGAAGTGGTTTGGAAATACTCTTCGGATCCTGGGACACGCTAGTGATCCTCAGCTAGTCACCTGAAAAGATACAAACACTCCGGTCGGGGGTGCCGGAATTAGCACTCCGACAGACAAGTTAGTTCAGACACTCAGGGTAGCTTCTTTTTTAAGTTTTGTGAAGTGATTCTTACATACCTTTCTGAATCTGTGGTTCTTGTATTTATACTTGCTTTTTTGGGCCTTGGGGCCTGAGCCAACTTTTATCCCATTCCCCTTTTATTCATTCGGAGCCACTGACCTCTGTCTATTCGGCTTTCCTAGCCTATTCGGCGTCCTAGTCATGCAACATGAAGCCGAACAGTATCTAATTTTTGGGGTACGCATCTTCCGACTATTCTACTTATTCGGCTCCCACAATTGCCCCCCAAGCACTTCACCGACGACAGTTGACTGAAGTGCTTGGTTTTGAATTTTGAAAATTCAGAGCCAAAATTCTGCGGTTGGCCTCATCCTCATGCGGATATCTAAGCGCACCCCTTTCGGTTGTCGTGTCGACCTCTCGCCCCCTCGTATTTGGACATCCTTTCAAGTATGTATTTTATGACGCTCATCGTTGGATTGCCTTTTGAATCGTCCCTGAAACTCTCTTCTCCGATATCCTCTTTGTCCTTTGTAAGTTCTCTCCTCCCTTGCTTCGAAGACTCTTTCTGGTTTATTCCTTCCTTGGCATATTCTCATAAACTGTAGGGTATGGAAAAAAATTTAAAAGACCTCCTCTCGTCAGATCGAATTGCTGGCTTTAAACGCCATTTCTCCATTCCTGATGATGTCCGTCTGTCGCTTGTGGCAGACGACACTCTTGATATGGAGAGGGAGCACAAAACCACGATTGCCTTTCCTCTTTTGTCAATTACAGAGGGTGGAGTCCGTTTCCCCCTTCACCCGTTTCTTAGGGCTGTGCTTCGCCATTGGGGTTTAATCCCTTCCCAACCTAATGTGAATTTCTTTAGAGTCATAATGGGGGTTATAGCACTCAACCGTCGCCTAAGAACTAACCTTAGACGGAGGGGCGAGCCAGGTGGCTGATTGCCTTCTCGCTTTTATTATTTGTTCATTTTTGTTGTAAAGCCTCTTCTTTGAAATGTTACGGCTCGGCTAGTGCAGGGAGCAATTTGAAGAAAGTTTTGTCTTCAACTGACGGCGCCGTTCTTTCGGATATTGAAGTCGCGCTCAAATATTTTGGCCGTCGAAGTCTTCAGAAACAAGGCAGGGCGGCCCACATTCTGCTTCGTTACGAGCCGACATATACAACCTTCTCGGCGGTGGAAAATATCCCGGTTCCGGAGGGTGAAGATTCTCTCATCGCTCTTATTTTGTCCGACTTCAAAAACTTGAGGCAGGTTGGTTTTGAAGGGTCCAATTCAGAGCGGGATGTAGCTAATCTTATCGAATCAGATCAGTCCGAAACCGAGTCTGACGCAGTATTGAATTTGGCCGATCCCCCATCTACGTTGGGCCGAAGGGATCTTTCACTTGACGGCGTTTTTCACGGCTTAGAGGATATTCCCGCCGCAGACCCCGAAGACATGGCCGGGTTAAGCTTGACAAAACTTGCCAGGAAGGCGAATGCGGAAAGTTTGGCCGCGTGGCGAAGAGCGGAGGCCCTTCCGTCTGAAGTACCACCCGCCACCGAATCTCAATTCTCCCTGCCTGTTAGCGAATCAGAGTTCTTGCGCGTTGAGGTGGAGACGGTGGAAAATCGGGATGCCGAATCTATGTTGATCATGCAGGCCAGCCAAGAAGTTGAGGCAGAGAAACGCCATGCCGGGTTTGAGGTCAGCTCAGAAGAACACGACGGCAAACGTCCTCGATTAGACGGATCAGACGTGATCGTTCCTTTTGTCATTCAGCCGATGATAAAAAACATGCCGGTTTCTTCTGACGCTTCGACGCTTAAAGATCCAGAAGTCGCATTCAGCTTGGCTACGTCCATGTCGTTGCCGTCTGACAAGGAGGCTTTCCAGGTGGAAACGGATCTGAATGCGACAGCACTAGCTGCCCAATCGGCACTTTTGGTACATATTTGAACTTAGCTTCATTTAGTCCAAATACCGTTGAAGTTATGGTTTTGAATTCTTGTTTTGCAAACCGTCGGATGGATAGCTGATATGGGTCGTCGCCATGGCGACGCCGTCAAACAGATTGGTCATTTATGCAAGGAAGTTGAAGGCCAGAGGAGAAGGGCCGAGGTCGAAGCTTTGAGGGCAAACAAGGAAGCCTCAAGGGCCGACGCCAAGATGGAAAGGGCTCGTTGTGAGGATCAATTGAGATCGGATGCCGAGAAGAAGGCGGACGCGAGCGAAGATGCGCTCAAATTGGCCCAGAAGGCGATCTCCAAACTGGAGGCTGAGTTGGCTGAAATGAAGGCGGCGAAGGAAGCAGCCGACTCAGAGTCTTCCAAAGCATTCGAGGCCGGGAAAAATGCTGGATTCGTCGAGTACGTGGACCAAGTCCCCAAGTTTGAAAATCGGGGATTCAAACATGGCTGGCACAAAGCCCTTGCTGCTGCTAACGCTTCATTGATTATGCCAATACCATATGAGCAAGTGGATGTTGGGCCATTGGAGTCTGATTCCGATGGCTGATCCGGCTGACTGACATAGTTTTTAGGATGTCGAATGTATTTTACAGTTTTTAATTTAGTATTTTTCATCTGTTGCTACAGTCATAGTTTTTTGCTAGGCATTTTTATGCGGGCTCGAAGCTTTTTGTTTGGTAACTTGAGTATATAAAATTTTATGAGTTGTGCTCAACCGGCTAAGGAAAATGTTGATGAATGATATTGCTTTCGGTTATGGTTAGATCAGCTACTTAGCTTAGGTATTTGGCCAATCAGATTAGTAAATCTGCCCTTGCCTTAGCCAGGGCGTGAGCTTGGGAAGCTGAATGGGCGTAACTCGTGGGCTGGCTGAGGCACAGATGGATCGGCGCTTGCGCTTGAAAACATGCCCGACCAGATAAGTAAATCTTCCCTTGCCTTAGCCAGGGCGCGAGCTTGGGAAACCGAATGGGCGTAACTCGTGGGCTGGCTGAGGCATACATGGATCGACGCTTGCGTTTGAAAACATGGCCGACCAGATTAGTAAATCTG